TTGACCAAAAAAAGGTGTGTGTGAGGATGTGCATAGGATGCTCGTTTTATTCCCCACACTTAGAGGGTGGCTCATGTGTTTCAGGGATCTGACTTCTAGCCTCTGGGGCCACCAGTCATACACATTGAGGGCCCTGGACATACATGAAGGCAAACACTCAAAAGAAAAATCTTTAGAAAAGACATAACTGGGTTCTTTTTTGGTTTTTCGAGACAGAGTTTCTCTGTAGCTTTGGAGCCTATCCTGGAACTAGCACTTGTAGACCAGGCTGGCCTCGAACTCACAGAGATCCACCTGCCTCTGCCTCCCAAGTGCTGGGATTAAAGGCATGCATCACCACCACCCGCCCGGCTACTTGGTTCTTTACTGCCCAGCAAGAATCTCAGGAATTACTTGATAGGGTTCAAGATACTTTAGAAGGCAATATGAAGTGCAGTTATCCCTATTGCTTTGATCAATAACACTTGAAGTCAAAGAAACATGAGGGGCCGGGTGGTGGTGGCGCACGCCTTTAATCCCAGCACTTGGGAGGCAGAGGCAGGCGGATCTCTGTGAGTTTGAGACCAGCCTGGTCTACAAGAGCTAGTTCCAGGAAAGGCTCCAAAATCACAGAGAAACCCTGTCTCGAAAAAAAAAAAAATTAAAAAAGAAACATGAGGGAAGGGGTCATGAAGCCCCACCCCTCCTCCTTGGGCTTCTGACAATTAGCAGTTGATTGGGTATGGGGAGGTTGCTGGGTACGAGGAGGCTTTGTCTTCAGTTCTGCAGCCACTAAGTTCCCATGCTCCATGCACAGTACCACCCCTGCATGTGCTAACAGCCATAATTAAACTCTACATTTAGAGACAGATCAGAGAGACGGTGTCCGGGCTAGTTCTTGTCATCTGAAAGGAAATACGAGAATGTCTCCGTAAGATCCAACTGTAGAGCGTTTGTTTGTTTGTTTTCTTTTTTTTTTTTTTTTTTTTTTTTTTTTTTTTTTTTGGTTTTTCGAGACAGGGTTTCTCTGTGGTTTTGGAGCCTGTCCTGGAACTAGCTCTTGTAGACCAGGCTGGTCTCGAACTCACAGAGATCCGCCTGCCTCTGCCTCCCGAGTGCTGGGATTAAAGGCGTGCACCACCACGGCCCGGCTGTTTGTTTGTTTTCAAGATTCTATGTGTCTAGCCCTGGCTGTTCTGGAACTTGCTCCGTAGACCAGGCTGACCTCGAACTTACAGAGATCTGCCTGCCTCTGTGTCCTGAGTGCTGGGTTGAAAGGCATGCACCACCACCGCCTGGGTGAAATCTAAAATATTTTTAAAAACAAGCCTACCAACTACTCAGTATACTTTTAGGAGTAACTTAAATCGCTGCTTTTCTAACCGCCTTGAGAAGGCTTGCTTTTTTACCTCACTGGATGGCCAAACTCTCCGAGATGACTTGAAGGGACAGTGGAGTCTGTGTCAGTCAGTGGCACCTTACAGCTGCCCTCCATGCTCATTTTAGTTTGACTTTCTGGCCGTATGAGGAAGCCACACTGTGATTTGTGTCACGGCTGTGATCATTCCGGCATGTTTATACGACTGCTCTATTTCCTAGCGGTCACTGGTTGAGTGGCGGTTCTGCTATGGACAGACACTGTACCCAGCAGGTCCTCTCTTGTGTCCTTGTGTCAAGTCTGTTGATTCTTCCCCCAGGGCTTTAGAGCAGCTAAACAAGTAGGTTAGCATGGCTGGCTTTTGAGGCTTGAAGTGGAAGACCAGTCACAACCAATACGGGGCTGCTGACATACTGGGGCAGACTCAGCAATATCCCGACATCCACTGAGAGGCTGACCACGGTTTCTTAAGTGTCTCTGGCCCAGCCACCCCAGCCTTGAGAACATATTACAAATGAGCATTCTGGGATGTCTACACTCAAACTATCAGTTCATAAACCCTAGGGTCTAGAGGTGGAGAGATGGCCCAGTGGTTAAGAACATATGATACCCTTTGCAGAGAACTGATCTTGGTACCAGTACTCACATGGCAGTTCACAAATATACAAAGTTCTGTGTCTCCAGTTCCAGGGGTTCTGATCCCCTCTTTCTGACTTCTGAATGTAGGCACCACCAGTGCAGGCTCCTTGTGAGAACCTCTGGGCAGGCCCTCTGGACATCTGATGGTAGCCTGTTATGGCCACTTTCCCGTGTCACTATCATGTAAATGGTGCCATCCAGAATCTTAACACTGGGTAAATGCGTTAAATGGCTAAGTAGTCAAGACCTTTTAAGTACTTGGCAAGAAGAGAGGTTTCCAGTGCCTCACTGTGGTCTCTGCTCCGTATTCCAGAGGGACTAGGCTTAGGATAGTATAGTCAACCAAGTGCTGTGCACTCTCCGGAAACTCAGGCGCTCCCAGCGAGTGATGAGAGCCTTTGGGGAGGTGGTAGTGGGGAATGCCCTGATGGACAAAGTGTCCCACAGATACGGCAGCACGTCCGGTGTGACCCCCCAGGGAAGTTTCCCAGCCGGAGCAGAGTGGGTTTCATGTGACTCTTGTATGCAAACTCCACGGTTATCTCGGAGAGATGTAAACACTCACTGGACATGGGCCAGTCTTGTTCTGGCCGGGAAGGGGATGGTCTGCGGGGTTAGAGCTCCCAGGCGAATGACTCTAACCCTGTGCTGGGTGCTGTCAGGGCAGAGAAGAGGAAAGCAGTGACTTGCTTCCAGGGCAGGAGTGGCTATTGCTTCCTGGTGACTTTTGACACTAGCTTGTGGCTCCAAGGTAAGCTTATAATACCAAAGTTCTAACTCACAACCTATTCATTCAATCTAGGCAAGTTAAATTACCACTGTTTTTGTAATGGGGAGTATTTTGCTGGTATTTTTTTTTTATTTTTATTTTATTTTATTTTTCGAGACAGGGTTTCTCCGTAGCTTTTGGTTCCTGTCCTGGAACTAGCTCTTGTAGACCAGGCTGGCCTCGAACTCACAGAGATCCGCCTGCCTCTGCCTCCCGAGTGCTGGGATTAAAGGCGTGCGCCACCACCGCCCGGCTTGCTGGTATTTTTTAAAATTCTTTTTTGTTTTTTTTAGAGACAGTTTCTCTGTGTATCTCTGACTGTCCTGGAACTCACTCTGTAAACCAGACTGACCTCGAACTCACAGAAATCTGCCTGCCTTTGCCTCCCTGAGTGCTGGGATTAAAGGCATGTGCCACCACCACCTGGCTTTTGTTGGCACTTTTAAAAAAGTCCTCAGGATGGCTTGGGGAAATAGATTAGTTGATGGATAGTGTCTGCCTGGCATGTACAGGGTCCTGAGCTCAATCCCTGGAACCTGGGCAAGGCTGAAGGTTCATGTTATCCCAGCACTAAGAGACACTTGGGAGGCAGAGGCAAGCAGATCTCTGAGTCTGAAGGTAGTTTGGTCTCCAAAGCAACTTCCAGAACAGCCAGGGTTGCACAGAGAAGCTGTCTCAAATGCCCCTCCTCCCCCTCAAAAAGGTCCTTAGGCTTTCCGGGCTCTCTATCGCCTTAGGGCAGGCGGGGGTGTCTGCCAGTTTGCAGGGACAGGTCATAGGAGGGACTCTTGGCTCTGTGTACTGTGAACTTTGGAGATGTGAACAGGGCCATTTCTATAAGTGTGAGGGCAGTTTGAGCTACATGAGAGTCTGCCTCAGAAGCAAAACATAATTTTAAAAAGTTAAGCTTTCTTTGGAGGTGATCGTAGATTCTCATGCAGTTGTAGAAGGTAATCCAGTTTTTCTGAGCCCAACTTCCCCAGTGGAAGGTTTGGCACAGTACTACAGCCCAGATTCCAACGTGAGTAGGCGAGTCAAGTCACCTTTATTTATTTATATTTATTTATTTTGGTTTTTTGAGACAGAGTTTCTCTGCGCAACAGCCCTAGCTGTCCTTGAACTAGCTCTTTTAGACCAGGCAGGCCTCAAACTCACAGAGATCCGCCTGCCTCTGCCTCCCAAGTGCTGGGATTAAAGGCGTGCGCCACCACTGCCCCCGCGAGTCAAGTGCTTGAGACCCAGTGCCCTGGCCAACAATGATCTGTCCTTGATTTTTATAGTTTTGTCACTTTTTTTTTTCTTTTTGAGACAGGGCTTCTCTGTGTAGCGCTGATTGTCCTGGGCTCACTCCATAGACCAGACTGGCCTCAAACACACAGAGAATCACCTGCCTCTACCTCTGAGTACTGGAATTAGAGGTGCGGGCCACCACCACCAGGCTAGTTTTGTCACTTTGAGAGTATTGTATGAATGGGATGTGAGGGCAATATGGCTGCAGTATCATTCACCCCATCGATCACGAAGCTGCTTTGGCTGGTCCAGCTTCCATGCATGAATTCATGCACCTACCCTGAAGCTGCATGTCGGTGGGAGACCTTCCCCAATGGGGGAGGACTGTTGTCCCTTTGAGCGGGTTCGAATGGCTGTGCTGAGCCTCCAAACAGGCTCTCAGGAGTATTTTATAGATGGAACTGTGCAGTGAGTGACTCATGGAGTCTGCTTTGCCACGCACAGAATCCTTGGCCGTTTCTCCAAGTTGTGGTCATATCTTGTGTTAGTGTATGCCTGTAAGCAGGCACCTATGTGTGGCAGAGGTTCACGTCAGCTATCGCCCGGCTCCCTCATTACTCTCCAACTTGTTTGTTTTTATTTATTTGATTTGAGACACAATCTCACTATGTACTTCTGGCTGTCCTGAAACCTGCTACACTGTGCAAGCTGGCCTCTAACTCACAGCAATCCTCCTGCTTCAGTCTTCAGAACGCAGAGATTGCCAGTATTCACCACCATGTTCAGCTTTTGTTACTTATTTGAAGAAAAAGAAAAGACACAGGACAGAAAACCAAAACCTAGACAGAATGTTTGGGGTGGGGGTTGGCTGGGATCTCCAGGCACCCCAGCCTGGCAGCAGGGGCCGTGTTCCCACACTCCTCAGAGTCCTGCAGGACAGCTGATGGTTTCAGGCAGGAAGCTCTTACAGATAAGGCTGCAGCCTCCAGCAGAGTCGCTGGGCTGTCTGACAGCCCAGGCACGGGTTCCCTCTGAGTTGGACTGCAGCTGCTCTCTGTAAATAAGCAGCCATGAGGCTCCTTGAAGCAGTATCTCTGCTAGCCGGGGACCGTCAGGACAGCACCTTCGCCTAGTGTGCATCCAGGTAGGAGATGCTACCCCAGGACACCAGGCCAGGATTGGACAGGTGTTGAGGCACAGATAGGAGGGCAAATTGCCAAACAGGACTGGAGGGTAGATTCAGGCTTTGGAATTTGGCAAGGTGGGACTCGGCCTCAGATCCAAGCATACTGGAGTTGGTCCATAAACCAGACACTCAAGTTTTAGAGTTTGTTTAGCTCAGTAGTTAATGGAGGAATCTTTGAGAGACCAACAGAGGCCGATTCTGATAGATGATAGAATTACAGACACTTAGGTTACTCGGTGCCCAGAGGTTGGAGTGATCATTTCTAACTCCAGTGGGGGAGGAACATACCCTAGACTATTGCTGAGCAGCACTTATGGCCTGACAGCTTAGCGAGCCCTGCTCAGAGACCTATAGCTCAAAGGCACACCCAGCAGGGGGTCTCAGGTGGAGGGGGTGGCAGGGAGGAAGGGACATTTCCCTCAGGGGAGCCATCTAACAGTGGGCATCGGGTCTCCCAGCGCTGGACAGGGGAGCAAATCAAAAGGTTAGTCGCTTGAGCTCTGACGCCCGGCTTCGGGACTGTTTGTGTCCGAGTGGCCCCAGGTGGCAGCTCCACATTGAAATTGTTGCATCCTTAGGCCATTGCATGGCACAATGGGGCTCGATTTGATGATTAATCCTGCCTGGGAGAGCAGAGCTCCAAGCTTCCACATTTAGTTTCATCTCCAGTTCTGAGACATCTGTGCCAGAGAAGAAAGAACAAACAGATCACTCCTCACTATCGGGTTGGTAAGATCCTCTCTGTAGCCTCTTGGTGGGGGTGGCAGTGTCACCTTAGGACAGAGAAGGCTTCCAAACAATGGTGCTGTTCCCAGTAGGCAGTTCAGGGTCCGTGAGATCCAGGGCTCCACTGTAGGTGTTTAATGGACATGTCAATTTGTGTGTTTGGCAGTACAATTCCTGTGTTTCTCCCTGCCTGCTCCCAGTGCGCTTTTTTTTTTTTTTTTTTTTTTTTTTTTTTTTTTTTTTTTTTTGTGGTTTTTCAAGACAGGGTTTCTCCGTAGCTTTGGAGCCTGTTCTGGAACTAGCTCTTGTAGACCAGGCTGACCTCGAACTCACAGAGATCTGCCAATCTCTGCCTCCCAAGTGTTGGGATTAAAGGCGTGTGTTACCGACGCCCGGCTCCCAGTTTATTTTTCCGTGTTTCTTTTCGTTTCTTTTGAGAATTCCACATTTAATCTCTCCCCAGAAAGCTGTCTCTTTGATAGAATTGGGGCCTTAGTCTTAGGGCCCCGGCTGAGAGATAAGGATGTTGTTTTTAAAAAGATTTCAGGACTGCAGTATAGGCTCCGTTTATAAAACCAAATTCCTTTCCTGGGAGGCAGCTGGCCGGGACACAGACCAGCTTCCTGGTGGGCATGGTACCTCCCCATGTGCCCACCTGCCCTGTTCTGGAGCAGGGCTGGGGCAGGAATCTGAACTGGAGGCCCAATCACATCCCCTAGCTCAAAGGAAACTGACAGTAAAGGCACACAGGCAGGAGAGTCAGCGAGAGTGTTTTTTGTACCTCTGCTCTCTCTGCTTGCCTGCTGTGGCCTGACCTTTTGTAATGGGAGAGTAAGGGCTGACTGTCCTGCTGGATGCCTGCTCTCTCTGGAGGAACATTTTGTTTTCATTTTTGTTTATGTTTTCTTTCAAGACAGGGTTTCTCTGCGTAGCCCTCGCTGTCCTGGAACTCACTCTGTAGACCAGGCTGGCCTTGAAGCTCACAGGGACCCACCTGCCTCTGCCTCCTGGGTGCACACCACCACCCAGCAACATTTGTTTCTGTGGAATACATTGCTGTGCCATCTTGGGAGCACCGAGCAAACCAGAAACACAAAAACAGTTTTTAATCCAACGAATTGGGTGCAGCAAGGATATTTGCTTTTTCCCCTCTGCATAAAGATAGGGTCTCATTATGCAGCCTTGATTGGTCTCAAACCCACAGGAATCCTCTTCGCCTCCCACGTACTTGGATGAAAACCATGGGCCACCATCTCCAGCCTTTTAAATCATTTAAAATTATGTATATGTGCCTGTGTCTGTCTGTGAGAGTGTGTGCAAGTGCCAGGGAAGACCAGAGGCACAGATCTCCTTAGTTACAGGCAGTTGTGCACGTGAGTGCTGAGAAACACACTCAGGTCCTCTGCAAGAGCAGAAGTGTTCTTAACCATTGAGCCCTCTCCACAGCTCCCCTTTTCTGTCTGATGAAATGGAATCTTACTATGTAGCCCTGGCTAGCCAGTGGCCTGAAACTCACTGTTGGAGCCCAGGCTGGCCTTGAATTTACGAGCTGCATAATTCTGCCTGTCTAAGCTCTGGGGTGACCAATGTCCTCACTATACATGGCCAATTATTGCCTTTGCAGCTGAGTGCTGTAGAGTTAAGATCACTGCAGGAGAGTATGCTCACCCACAGGTTTTGCCATCCCGTTTCTTTTTTTTTCTTTTTTTTCTTTTTAAATATTTATTTATTTATTTATTATGTATACAATATTCTGTCTGTGTGTATGTCTGCAGGCCAGAAGAGGTCACCAGACCTCACTACAGATGGTTGTGAGCCACCATGTGGTTGCCGGGAATTGAACTCAGGACCTTTGGAAGAGCAGGCAGTGCTCTTAACCACTGAGCCATCTCTCCAGCCCATCCCCTGTTTCTTAAATTGCTGGGAATTTCAGGACAGTGACAACAGAGCGATAACCCAAGTGTGACAACCTCTGGCCTGCAGAGGTCCATGGAAGCTTAGCATCGCATTTCTCATACATTTATGAACACACCCATGTGTAAGTAACTCTTAAAAATGAGAAGCTGGGGGGCTGGAGAGGTCCTGAGTTCAACTCCCAGCAACCACATGGTGGCTCCCAACCATCTCTAGTGGGATATGATGCTCCATCTGGCATAAAGTCAGGTATGCCGATACAGCACTCATGCATAAAATAAATAAATAAATAAATCTTAAAAAAAAATGAGAAGTTGGAAGGGAGTTGAAACAATGTCCCCAGCAAATTCCTGCTGAAGCCTAGCAGTGACGACACTGAAGAGTGTGCTATGTCCGCTGATTCCTCTCCATGGTGATTTTCCTTAGCTGTGTGTGTGTATGCATGTGTGTATGTGTATGTGTGTATATGCGTGTGCGCATGTGTGTATGCATTTGTGCATGTGTGTGCACATGTGTGTGTATGCGTGTGTGTATGTGTTCTCACCCCTGGCAAGCCCAGCTGTGTGTGCCCTTCTTTGCTCCCATTTTGTAGTCTGCCTTGATTTGTTTTTCTTCTTCATGAAAGCAGAAACTTGGTGGACTACAGTGCTTTCTCAGCCCATCGTTTCACCGTAGTTCTCCCGCGTGTTGTCAAGCTTGCTGTGCTGTTGTCTCTCACGGTTTTGAACATTTGACTATCACAGTTGCGGGCGTCTCATTAACTTCTGACGGCCATGGCACTCCCTCTTTCCCGTCAACCTGCAAACATGGATGGACGTGCAGAGGGCTGGCAACCTTGCCAGTCACCAACAGCCCAGTGACCCAGAGTGTGGGCGGGTGGGAATGAATGGGAGGTGGGTCTCAAACTCCAGCCTCAAAGGACAGAGCAGCATTGAGATCAACAAAGTCTGTGCTCTGCAGGCTCAGGCTTTGTCTTTGCGGTTTGAGCTGTGCAGGGCCTTCCTTCCTTGAGCCCTTGAATGATGAGGTTGGCTTTCCATTTTATGCCTCTGGACTTTCAGCCAGGTCCCAAGGTCAAGGTCGGTGAGTGCAATCCTCTTGGTTTACACCCAAAATGCTACACCTTTCGATCCTACGCTCCACTATCCTTTAAGCCTCACTCTGCTTATGCTGTGCCGTCCAGTCTTGTGCTCCCTCATCCTTCAGCCCCCCCTTTGCTTAGGCGGGAAGTCAGCATCTAGTGTCGCCAAACCTTTCTTCTGTTGTCCCTTGAGGGTACTTGAGTTGAAAGAGGAGTTTCTGATGGCTTCCCTTCACACAGCAGGGACAGGAGATTCTCATCACCAGGTGCAGCTTTCCATGGTCTGACATGATAGCAGGAGGGTGTCTGGATATCTTAACTTTGCCACTCATTTTGGGGAGAATCCTTCCCTAGAGGCAAATCTATCAGGAGCTTGGTGTTACTAAAGTGAGTGTCAGCATAGCCAGATAGGGGGTCTCTGCAGACTATAAAGGCTCCTGGGATGTGGTTTGTGTCCCCACTCCCTGGGCTTCTCTATGGGGGGGACACAACAGGATGATCTCACTGGCTGTGTATATGGGCCCCTTGCTTCTGAGGGCTAGATGGCTGGAGTCAGGGAAGGATGCAGAACCTTTTTATCTTTGAGTCGGGCAAGTTAAACCATTGCTCCATCCACCCAGTTTGTTGCCTGCTAGTCATGGGAGCTTCATGGCTTTCTTTGGCCGTAAAGTCAAATCTAGCCCCTCCCCTTCATCCATATCTGCTCCCCCACCCCAGCACTGTTCTCTAGGGATGGTAGCTGGCTGGCCATTTCCTCGAATTTCTCATAGAATCCAGTGAAAATCAATCAAGTTTGCCTCTGCAATACACCCCAGCAATACTTTGCTTCTCTGCCTTTGCCACAGCCTCTCCACTTCTTGCTAACTGCACACTGTAGTCTCCTCTGTCTGGCCTCCTCATTTCCTTTTTCTTGTTTGTTTGTTCTTTGGCTTTTCGAAATGGTTTCTTCATAGCTTTGGAGCCTGTCCTGGCACTCACTCTGTAGAGCAGGCTGACCTCGAACTCACAGAGATCCGCCTGTCTATGTTTCCTGAATGTTGGGATTAAAGGCGTGAACCACCATTGTCCTGCTTGTTTTGTTTTTTGAGATGGAGGTCTCACATGGGGCTTGAGAGATGGCTCAGTGGTTAAGAGCACTGGCCGTTCTTCTAGAGGTCCTGAGTTCAATTCCCAGCAACCACATGATGGCTCACAACCCTCTGTAATGAGATCTGGTGCCCTCTTTTGACCTGCAGGTATGCATGTAGGCAGAACACTGTATACATGATAAATATACAGAAATAAATAAATCTTTAAAAAAATAAGAGATAGGGTCTCACTCTGTAGCGTTGGCTGTTCTGGAACTAACTCTGTAGACCAGGTTGACCTTGAGCTCACAGAGATCTGTCCAGCCTCTGCCACACAAATGCTGGGGATTAAGGGCGTGCTCCACCTCACCCTGAGTCTCACTTCCATCCTTATTCCAATAAATATGGTCTCCAAAGAAGAGCCAAGTGGCCCTTTATAAAGCCATGCCCCTAGCTGGGTGGTGGTGGCATACACCTTTAATCCCTGCACTTGGGAGGCAGAGGCAGGCGGCGGATCTCTGTGAATTCGAGGTCTGCCTGGTCTATAAGAGCTAGTTCCAGGACAGGCTCCAAAGCTACAGAGAAACCCTGTCTCAAAAAACAAACAAAAAATAAAGCCATGTCCTGATCAAAAGCCTCCTTGTTTTGAGGAACCCTCACAGGTTTCACAGCAACACTAGATCTGAGTCTTTACTCTGTTCAGGGCTTTTTCCTCCTTTATGTTCAACAGGCCAGGCAGCTTCTCCCCAAACTCCATCAAGAGGCTGCAACCTCTTGATGCTTCACCAGGGAGGCTACTCCTGACCCCTGTCTCTAGATAGCAGCACCTGCATGCCCAGGCCCCTGATCCCTGGGGAAGATTGCTCTTCTCTGCTCCTTCTGGTTTTATCTGTCCACCCTTTTGTCTCTTTTAAAAAAGGTTTATTTATTTTTGTATATGTGCATACCTGCATGTGTATAGGCACACTAGGTGTGTACAGTGCTCATAGAAGGTGAAGAGGGCATTGGGTCTCACTGGAACCAGAGTTACAGGTGGTTGTGCACCACCATGGGGATCCTGAGAACTAACCCAGGCCCTCTGTAAGAGCAGCAAATATTCTTAACCACTGAACCATCTCTCCTGGCCCTGACTGTCTTCTTTGACTGGAAAGGAACTTTAGTTCTTTCTACACCCTAGCACCTGGAATTGTGCCTGGCAGCAGGTTGGCACCTGGAAATATTGCTGAGTGGTTGGCTGACCCAGGGGATAGGTGCCAGGAAGCACCAGAGGCCTTCTGGGATGAATAATTGTGTGGTTATTGCTATAATTACTATTGTGTGGTTCTGATGCTCCAAGGAGAACCCCCTACCTCAGCTTCCAGGCCCAGCTTCCCTTTTTGCTTTTTATATATCTTTTATATATCTTTCTTCCTTTCTTCCTCTTCTTCCTTCTCCTCCTCTTCTTCTTTTTCTCCTTCTCCTTCTTCTTTTTAGGTTTTTCAAGACAGGGTTTCTCTGTAGCTTTGGAGCCTGTCCTGGAACTAGCTCTTGTAGACCAGGCTGGCCTCGAACTCACAGATCCGCATGTCTCTGCCTCCTGAGTGCTGGGATTAAAGGCGTGAGCCACGACCGCCCAGCTCTCCCTTTCTTCTTGCCACTACTGTTGGCCTTTCTTATTCTCTTTCTTCTCTGCTTTCGAGCCATCCAGTGTGGACCCCTCTTTGCATAGGGCTATCCCCTCTTAGACACGCTCCAAGCTCTGCAGGACAGTCACGTCTTACATAGGAGCCTTTGCTGTCTTTGGGCCCCAATCTCTGCCATTAGGATGAGATGAGCCTCTTGGGCAGGCCTTGTGCTCAGTGACTTGTTCTGAGGAAGGCTGGACAGTGCGAGTGACCTTTAGCAAAGGCTTTGGGAAAGTGTTCTGGGCACGCGTGGTGCCCTAGCTGCCGGGAAACTTCCGAGGCTCTCAGTGGAGGTTGGTAATTGGTATGTAGCGAGCCAGCGAGAGAGGGGAGTGTACACAGGGGCCCGCTGTTTGCAAAGCGCTGTCTGTGTCAGATCCTGTCACTGTTTATGCCTTCCTTCTTCCAGGAGTCAGTGTCCTGCCCGCGCTCATGATGACGAGGGACCTGGCTCTTGCAGGCATGCTGATTAGCCTGGCTTTCCTGTCACTGCCGCCATCTGGATGTCCTCAGCAGACCACAGAGGACGCCTGCTCTGTGCAGATTCTTGTCCCCGGCCTCAAAGGTAATGGTTCTTCTGCTGCTCTGGTGTTGCGCTGGTCACTCCTCCGGGTGTCTCAGTCTCCTGCATGGCCTGGTACTTCAGCACAAACTCACAGAGGATGGCTTTGTTCCAGCAGCATCCTGGGAAATCTGCCCATCTGTTGAGTTTGGGATTTCCTGACAATAAGACTAAGGTTCCATGACATTTAAACCTTTTCTCACCAAGGAATTGCGGATTTCTCATCAGTGATGTGTATGCAACACAGACTGCTCTTCAGGAGCCTTGTGTGAAGGTCTGGCTCATTTGATCTTCTCCAGCATGAGCCAGAGGACTGAGGTCAGCCAGCCTCTTTCCTGCTATATGATGCTACAGTGTTTACAAGTCTTGCCCTGCAGAGACAAAGACTGCTTGCAGGCACATTTGCAGATAGATCAATAGTCCAGGGATGCCTGTGGTTTTTCTTCAATCCACAATGAGTCTATTAAACTAGTCCATGTTCTGCATGAAAATGACAGACACATGCCTTCATAGTTGGGTCAGATATTATCAAAGCATGACCTGGATGAAAACTTTATGTTCACAGATTGAGATCTGACTCGAGAGGGCACAACTGGTAAATTATTTTTACAACTGAAGAGAAAGCAGTGCTATTGATGGTGGAAAATGAGATGGCAGTTGAAATGTCAACCTGTTCTGATGAAAAGATGGCTCATCAGAACTCCTCAGGGGTGGGGGAAGAGGGCCACATAACTGGGCTCTCTGTGGTTTGCTCATCACCCTAGGTAACTAGTCCCCCACCCCACTGAGTTTTGAGCAGTGCTGGGAACATCTTTGATCTTGACAATCACTCAGGGTTTTACTCTAAGGCCTCCAGGAACAGCTAGACATAGAGTCAAGCTTCCAGGGAAGGTCTCTATTGACTTGGGTGTGGTCCATTAGAGGCAGAGCTCAAAAATATATTTGAGACAAATGGTCTCACTATGAAATTCTGGCTAGCTGGGAACTTCCTATGCAGAATATCCTGGATTAAACTCCTAGGACTCTGCCTGCCTCTGCCTCCTGAGTGCTGAGATCAAGGTGGGTACCATCACTGTAGACAGAGAGAGACTGCTTGTTGGTTTCCTGGCTACTCAGACCTGAATAATAACACAGAAACTATATTAATTACAACACTATTGGGCCAATGACATTAGTGTATTCCTAGCTAGCTCTTTCATCGTAAATTAACCTATTTCTATTAATCTGTGTATCACCACGAGGCTGTGGCCTACTGGTAAGTTTCTGGCTGGCGGCTGGCAGCTTTCTCCTTCAGCAGCTACATGGTATCTCCCTGACTCCACCTACTTTCTGTCTATATCTCTGTTTGGATTTCCTGCCTGCTTTACTCTACTAAGCCATTGGCCGGAACAGCTTCTTTAATAACCAATGGTAATAAAACATATTAATAGCAAACAGAGGGGAATCCCACACCACATCACATTGAGCATAAACAATTTTCTGTCTGCATATATGCCTGCAGGCCAGAAGAGGGCACCAGATCTCATTACAGACGGTTGTGAGCCACCATGTGGTTGCTGGGAATTGAACTCAGGACCTTTGGAAGAGCAGGCAATGCTCTTAACTGCTGAGCCATCTCGCCAGCCCCGCATAAGCAATTTTTATTTATTTATTATGTATACAATATTCTGTCTGTGTATATGCCTGAAGGCCAGAAGAGGGCACCAGACCCCATTACAGATGGCTGTGAGCCACCATGTGGTTTCTAGGAATTGAACTCAGGGCCTTTGGAAGAGCAATCACTGCTCTTAACCTCTTAGCCATCTCTCCAGCCCCATAAACAATTTTTTTTACGACAAAGTAGTTTCAGGACATAATGTAATCAGGGACAGAGTTGAGGAACTGCATGTGGGGGGCTTCAGAGCCTGGGCATCAAGGTGATTTTGGGGGGATCAGTAGTGGGAAGCTCAGAGGCCTTGTCCCCTTCTTCCCATTGTGGGTGAAGTGGGAAGATTATTCATGAGAATGCCATTTAAATGAAGAGGCTTTTCTGATTGTTTGAGAGATATAAAGATCCTTCATTCAGGTCCTGTGCGTGTGTGTGTATACGTGTGCGTATATGTGTGTGTGTATGCAAACATGTGTGCTGTGCTTGCGTGTGGAGGCCAGAGGCCAACCTTTGGCATTATTTCAGGTGATAACAACTTTGGATTTTGAGACAGGGTCTTTCATTGACCTGGTGCTTACCAATTAGTCTAGTCTGGCTAGCTAGGGAGCCCCGGGGATCCTCCTGACTTGTCTACTCAGCACTGGAATTACATATGTGTGCTACTACGCTGGCTTTTTATATGGAATTTGTGGGTCAACCCAAGTCCTGTGTTTACTGTGGCAAGCCCATTACTAACAGCCATTGCTCCAGCCCCAAGCACTGTGTTTTAAAATGTTTTCATTGGTTAATTCTATCTCATTCCTACTATAGTATGTCAAGTGCTGTTCCAGGGTCTCATGGTGAGTTGGGATCAATATAAACAGTTTTTCAATAAAATTACACACACACACACACACACACACACGATGCAAAGGGAGGCCAGGTGGAAGCTGTGTGCTGGCCTTAGGGTCCTTCTTGTCTTCTTTTGAAAGGGGAGGGACCATCAGATAAATAACAATGCAGTGGACGATGGTCTGGTTCACTCAACTTTAACCCTGATCCAGGTTCTGATGCCCAAAGAAACTGTGGTCAGGCTCGGAGCCAGCACCTGTCTCGTCACTCAGCCACCACAGCCCATGTCTTCGCTAATGCACACCCACCCGCCTAGAACAAGTGAGAGCCACGGTAAACTCTAGGCGCTTTCTAGCAAACGTCTAGAAGAGGTGTAAGGTGTGCTCTTGGTCACCTCACCTCACCGTGAGTACCGACAGTGTACCTGCTGTGGTGGAGGCCTCCCTTCCTCCAGGTGCTCTGGGAGAAATTTCCACCCCAGGAAGGTCGTGGTAACCGCTTACTGTGACACACACGGTGGTGCGAGCTAAGAAACGTGACCCCACCCTTGTCCATCTTCCGTGGGCTTCTGCAGCGGTGGCCTTCGCTGTCGCTCCTCTGTGGGTGATCGTGTTGGCCTCTGTGGTCCAACCCTTCAGCCTAGCCCTGGCAGGCTTGTCTGGAGAGCTTTTGATTCCTTTCAGCCTGTGTGTTTTTCCTCGGCGTGACGAGCCGCTCCGGCTGGTTGTATCCGGCTCGCTGCGCAGCTTCATCTTGAAAGCCGCTTCAGCGGGGACCCGTCCGATCTGACATATTCTGTGCCACATTTGCTGAAGTGACTGCCTCGTTCTGTCCTGTACCCTGTGTGGCTAATGAGAATTCTCATGTCAATCTGACTTAAAAATATTTTCCCTCCTGGATAGCTCGCAGAATGTTCTCTTTGTTGTTGACGTTCGTTTGGCAGTGTCGCTGACACGTCTTTCCTATTTGGCCCTGATTTTTCCCGTGTGGTTCTCCGCGGGCTTTTATTGTGTTCTTGCGTTCATGCACTCAGCCTTGCCCCCAGTACTGGAAAGTGTATCTGGCAGCTCTTTACAGACTCTCAGGCGTTACCCGTCATTCTCTTCCTCCCTCTGTCTCTCTGGAATTCTTGGGAGATGGGTTTGGGCATTTGTGAGTTTTTTTTTTTTTTTTCCCCTCTTCCATTTCAACTTGATAGCTTCAAAACAAAGCCATCAAAGCTTCACAGTTGAGTGTTCCTTAGTGAAAAGAAGCCCTGGTCCTAGTGTTTTGTTTCAGGGGAAGTGAGTGAGCTTTCTTCCAGCCATTGCTTTCCAGCTGTGAGGGTACATTTCACGCAGAAGGTCCCCAGTGGGCTTGCTGTCACACTCGCTCTCACACACAACCATGCCTCCTGTCTCTTTCTTTTTTCCTTTTTTTTTTTTCCATGACAGAGTTTCACTATGTAGCCTTGGATAGCCTGGAATTCACATCCAGGATGTGTAGCCCGAGAAGCAGAGACATGTGGACCTCTGGGAGTTTGAGGCCAGGCTGGAGAATAGGTCCCCCGGTCCCCCGGTTCCCTGAGACTCAGCTCCTCTCCGCACACTTGTGTGCTCATCCTGTTAGCTACCCCGACTACTTATTTATACCTCTGTCTCTTGTACCTGGCCACGGAATCCAGAACATGCAGGGCACACTTTACTGGTTCTAGGAAGCGCAAAGGGGAGGCCATCATGAACACGCCATGGGTCATGCTGAGAGGACAAGGACACCCCAGTCTCTTTTCATGAGGCATGTCACCAGGCCACATGACGTTCCTCTGGGGGTTACCTAGCAGTGACCATACTTCTCCTTACTTTTCTTTATTGTTGGGGTGGTATGGAGAGTCCTATGGTGGGAAGATGGATTGGGAACCAGTCCAGAAGGGACAGTGGAAGGAGAGAAAGATCTGTTCCCTGAAAAACAAAGCAGCGTCAGGAAAGCACATCCTGAGCTTAGACACAGACATCCATCCAGAGCTCGCCCAAGTGATGCTGCTTGCGGTTTGGAGTACAGTGGCAAGGAGTAGGGTCAGACCGGCTGTACCATGTGTGAGTCTTTCTAATTCTTCTGCATGGGTGCATAACATCATAGCCCTGTTCTAGCCAGACAGTGCCTAAACAGATATGCCTTCTTCCACAGGCGATGCAGGAGAAAAGGGAGACAAAGGAGCCCCAGGACGGCCAGGAAGAGTCGGCCCTATGGGAGAAAAAGGTACTCATGATTCTAGTCTCCGTGGGGAAAAGGAGGGTGGGAGGTGGAGGGGACCGAGCTCTCCTGAGATAGAGTTTAAGGACAGTGGTGTCTCTCTGGGAACTGCCAAGGTTAAGGATCACGCATAAACATATATGAGAGTGGCGTGATGGAGGAGCAGGGCCCAGGAAAAGCTGACCCATCTGCTGCGTGGAAGTAGCTGAGTGGAAATGATTTCTACTTTAATAAAACAACGTGATTCTGCCTGGGGGAGGCTGATGAGACTCAACTGCATATCAAAGGAGCTAGAACACATATGTGAAGAAACCAGAACACACGCACAGGGATAAGAACACGCATGGATAGGAATGGGAGTACCCATGTAAAGAACCAGGCTGTGGATACTGGGTAATCACAGGACACACAAAAGAGAGGCTGTCCAAGGGAAGAGGCTAGGGGATGCTCCAGTTTACATACTTGGAATGGAATTTGAACATACATGAGAACAGAGGTGATCACACATGTAAGGTGCGCAGTGTGTGTGACTGCCATCTACAGGGTGGCATCATCTTTACTATTTTGTATGTTAATCTTTTTTTTTGTTTGTTTTTTTGAGACAGGGTTTCTCTGTAGCTTTGGGGTCTGTTTTGGAACTCACTCTTGTAGACCAGGCTGGCCTCGAACTTATAGAGATCTGCCTGCCTCTGCCTCCCAAGTGCTGGAATTAAAGATGTGTGCCACCACTGCCCAGCTTAAAATGTTTTATTATTTTTTCAAAATTATGTGTGTATGTCTGTGTGTGGGTTTGTGCATGTGAGCACAGTGTCTGTGCAGATCAGAAAGGAGCACTGGAAACCCTGGAGTGGGATTTACCTGCGATGGCTACTGAGCCCTCCTGAAGAGCAGAGCTGGTCTACATAGCGGGAGACTCGTTCTCTTAAAAGTTTATTTCTAGTATTTTAATTGTGTGTGCATGTGTGTGTGTGTATGTGCATTTGTGTGCACGTGTGTGTGTGCATGCATGCGCATGTGTGCATGCATGCGCGTGTGTGCATGTGTGTATGTGTTGGTATGTGCACATGCATGTGAGTTCCCACAGAGGTCAGAGGTGTTAGATCCCCCTGTGCTGTCTCGTGTGGTGCTGGGAATCCAGTTCAGGGAGAACGGTCCATGCTCGCAACCACTAAGCCAACTCTCCAGCCTCAAAGTTTTGTTGGTTTTTAATATCTCTTCTGAGACAGGGTCTCACTATGTAGCCTGGAAATTGTTATGCAGACCAAGTTACTTTGAACTCAAGAGATCTGCCTGCTTCTGCCTACTTTACAGTCTTTATTGTTATTAAAAACTATATAGAAAACCATTTTCAATCCAGTCATTATGGGGTGTGCTTTTAGTCCCAGCACTCTGGATGAAGGGGCAGATGGATCTCTATGCATTTCAGGCCATCCTGGTCTACATAGCGGGAGACCCTGTCTTAAAAAACGAAACAAGCTGGTTGTAGTGGCACATGCTGGTAGGATTTGCTGAAGGATGCAGAGGCAGGAGGATCATGAGTCTGAGGCTAGACTGGGCTTCACATTTCTGGTTGGTGATTGAGCACACTTTTAATATGTGCACTGAGGAGGCAGAAGCAGTCAGATCTCTGAGTTCAAGGTCAGCCTGTTCTACAGAGTGCGTTCTAGGACAGCCAGGGATACACAGAGAAACCCTGTCTCAAAACAAAACAACTCAAACCAAACCAAAAAACTCAACAAACATACAAAAAAGAAAAAGGAGAGCATTCTTAACAACCCGTGAGGATATGTACTAGTCAGCACCACGGCTGATCTTGTAACTCTGGAAAAGCTTCTGTTTAAAAAAAACTATTAAAATAACACATTGACAGTTTTTTGAAGAGTGACTTACAGACACTTCCTGGTCTAGCTTGCATACTGTGAGACCTTGTCGGATGGGACTGGACCATTTCACTCCTCCATCAACCCCAGGCACTGACTTTTACTTCTTATTTTTTTCCTGTTATTCATAGAAATTAATGACGAATGGAATATTATCTCAGATCAGTGATCAAAATGAGCAATGACATTTGCAGCAAAGGTCCAAGCTCATCTCTGTGGCTCTTGATAACTTTTAATCCATTTTTTTTGCAGAGAGATCTTAGGAATTTATGATGCATCACATCCCATTTGTGCAGACACTTGCAGAGGATGTGCTTATTCTGCACCTTGCTTCTTTCACTTAACAGCGTATCTTGGAGAGCCTTCCATGAGAGGATGCAATGGTCTCCCCTATTTATTTATTATTTATATTCAGTGATTGGTGTGCTCAAGTGTACGTTTATCGTGACTTAGCTCAGGCTCACATTTTCCTGGGTATTTGCTGCCATGAATAATGTGTGTGTGTGTGTGTATAGCTTCAAAGTTTACTCTGATGGGTGGGATTGCTCATCAAGATGTGCATGCATTTGCAGTTTTGGGTGGGTGTGTCACGCCTTTAATCCTAGCACTCCAAAAGCAGAGGCACTAGGGTCAGGAAGGACTGTGAGGTTGGTCTGTACAACAACACCCCTTCTCCAAAACCATGCCCATCTCAGATTTATTTCTGTTAGTTAATAAAGAATATGTGAAGACTGCCTTAAGGTGTGTTCAAGCTTGTTGTCCAGATTCACCCTCCATTGTCCACGACAAGCCCTGTGAGCTACACTTGTCTCAGGAGTGACAGAGGCCAGGTGTGGAGGCGCATGCCTTAATGCGCTGAGGCAGATGTCTGTGAGTTTGAGAACAGTCAGGGCTATATAGTGAAACCCTGACTTAAAAAGAAAAAAAATGTGGGCTTCCCAGGAATCTGGTTCAGGTCAGGGAGTGGGTGGGGTGGGGTGGGGGTGGCTCCCAGTCACAGGTCCCGTGTGACTCATGGCTAGCACTTGCAGGGGCAGCTAGGTGGGTGGGATGTCTGATGAGCTATCAGAGTACCGTAGAGATATCCTAGGCTACAGCTGTCCATCCTCGTGGAGAACACAACTCCAAGTCCTGTAGACTCTGGCCTCAGAGCATCTATAGCTGGGTTTGACCTTCAGCTTATGCCAATATCTTTTATATTCAGTGTAGCCTTGACGTGCGAGTGTTCTAGCATCCTCATCAGGGCCTTCTGTTCTTCCCGAACATTTTTATATGATCCCTTTCTCTCTGTCACTTGTGGACGCTTTCCTTAGCTAAGCTGAAATGGATTCTCACTATGTCCGACTGGGCACTGTTCCGAAAGTCCCGAGCCTCTCCTCTGTCATCTGGTGCCCCTCTCCTCTGTCATCTGGTGCCCCTCTTCTCTGTCATCTGATGCCCCTCTCCTCTGCACATCTTAAATACACTCAGCTGCCAAGCAGCAAATCAGGTAGCAGGGACCAAGTCCCAGGCCTTTCTGCTCCCCATCTTCAGTCTGGCCGACTTCCAGGCCCACTCCGGGGTGTGAGCTGCCCTCCCCAGCAAACTGTGAGTTTTACAGATGTCTGAGCATGGTGTGTGCTGTGGGCAGGCCCTCCTGGGGCCTCTAGCTCCATCTGTTGGCGATGGCTCAGCTCTTCTCTGTTGGCTGCTGGAGGCCAGAGCAATCTCTCTCTAAGGTGTGGGTGTAATACCTGGACTTTCCTATGTTTTGAGAATTCTTTTCAGGGATTAAGATTCCTGGCATTTTGCTCCTCTAGTACCTGAAAGTTGGGCCCAGGATTGTGTCTCTGCCCCAGTGTCCCCTTCAAGAGGCCACATATAATCCCTAGCCCGCGAGTGCCTTCCCTGCTTGGTGCCATCCTCACGTCTGTTGGTGTGTGAGTACTGTATTCTGCCTCACTAGGGAATGTGATTCTCCTTTTGTTCTTTCTTCACATCTATTGTTTTCCTGCTGTGTCCAAAGTATAGTAAATGTGATCATGCATTCCCACAATCCAGAACTCAGGAGGCTGATGCAGGAGGGTGGTGAGTTTGAGGCCAGCCGGGGCTACAGAGTGAGCAACTATTTCAAAAACCAAACCAAACCAACAAAACCCAAACCAAAACCCTTGAAAATGAAGCCAAAACCTGATACATGGCATTTCCACCAAAGCAGCATCTTCTAGACAGAGATAACAATGACAGTAATGTGCCCGAGATGACATGCAGGGGTGCGCTGACCAGAGAACAGGTGCAAAGAGGCTTAATGAAGAAGCACACCGCAAAAGACAGATGCAGGGCCTGAAGTCTGAAAGAGAGGGTGTGTGTGTGTGTGTGTGTGTGTGTGTGTGAGAGAGAGAGAGAGAGACAGAGAGAGACAGAGAGATACACATGCACACACACACACACACACACACACACACACAGAGAGAGAGAGAGAGAGAGAGAGAGAGAGAGAGAGAGAGAGAGACCCTGAGAAGGGGTTCTTTCTAAGGGTCAAGGGGAGCTACATGATCTGACTTCTGTCCAAGTGTGGGTTTAAGCTGGCCCCTCACTATCTTGTTTATGTTACAGCACGAGTCATTGTTCCTGATTGGAGCCAGGTGGGGTGAGGTGCACAGGCGATGTCACAGGTCACTGGGACTGGGTTCCAAGTAGTTGGGGTCTCATTGTCAATGTGGGATTTTCTGATTCTTTGTTTTGAGGCATGGTCTCACATAGCACAGGCTGCGCTTGAACTTGCTATGCAGCCGAGAATGACTTAGAAACTCTCCTCCCGACTCAGCCTCCTGGGTGCTGGGGTTGGGATGCAGGTGAGCACCAGCAGGTGTACTGGCTACTCTTCCTGTTGTGATAGGTTACCCTGACCAAAGCGACTCCAGGAAGGGTTGGTTTGTCCCACAGTTTGAGGTGAAAGCCTGCCATCTCTCACACTGGCAGATCTCGAAGCCACCTTTTCGATAGCCCAGTGCCACAGACATAGAGCCTGATGTCATGAAAATAAAATCTACTGGGGACCCCAGGTGCAGCATCCGCAGCTTAGGAGGTGGATCTGCTGGCGACGGGCACCTTCAAAGGGTGCTGTGTCAGGTGCTCGGGGTGCCA